CTCCTCCTCCTCCTCCTCCTCCTCCTCCTTCTTTTTTTCATGTATTTGGTTGTTACAGGGTCTCACAACGCAGCTCGGACTCGTAATGATCCTGCTGTTTTCAGCCTCCCCAGCGCCAGGATTACAGGCTTGAGCCGGGACTCTGCGGTGGGCTCAGCCTGCCCTGTGGGCGGGGCTGGAGCAGCACGTGGTGCTGGGGATCAAACTTGGTCCCAGCACTTGCCTAAGCAGGCCCCTTAATCCGCTGAGCTATCTTGCCGGCCCCCAACTCATTTTTTAGAATGAGTTTCTTTTCTGCTTGCAAAAACTTGAAGTGTATGGCAGATTCTTACCATGGGGCCTTTGCGCGTGTTCTTCCTGCTGTCTGGCAGAATGTTGCCCTGAGGGATCAGTCTGTGGCTCAGTGTGGGCTTTAGGGGACTGTCACCTTCTCTTGGGGCACTTCCTGACCACCGCTGTAAAACTGCAGACAACCTTTTCCATCCCCTTATGCTCCCTGCCTCCCTGTTCATCTTTATTTTTTTTGCTCTAGAGAATTTTCCATGATCCAACACTATACAGTTTAGGTATCTATGTAAGAAAAACATTTGTATCCAACACCTAAAGAAAAAAACAAAATTCAGAAGCTATCTAGCGCATAGTAAATGTGTGTCACATTAGTAAAGGTTCCTGGCTCTAAGTTGCAGCCTTTAACATCTGTTCATGTCTACCTCAGTGGAAAGGATGCTGAAACCTGGAGCCCTGCTATATGAAAATGTAATTTTCAGTTTTTTGCAGATGCTGTTAAGGCAGTCCTGTAGTTTCCCTCACTTAAATTCTGATTTTTCAACAATAAATGATTGCCATTTGAGATGTACTTGCTAACCCCCAAATTTCTTATCAGTTATTATGGTTGATTTTGTATATATTTTTCTCAGTCTTACGTAGTGAGACTATTGTTTATTTTTACAGATGAAATTGAATGCTAGGTGTTGTGGTGCACACCTGTAATCCCAGCACTTGGAAGGCTGAGGCAGGAGGACTGTGGAGAATTTGAGGGCATTATGGGCTACACAGTGAGTTGGAGAAATACGAAACAAAACTTAAAGTGATTGAGTTTTCAAGCATGCATATAAAAGATTCCTAAGCAAATGGGACCTTGAGGGAAAAATAAACTAATGGGAAAACCTTAACTGAGCAATGTAGGCAAAAATGGGAAACAGATTTCTTTTTCTTTTCTTTCTTTTTTTTTTCGGAACCAGGGATTAAGCTCAGGCCTTTACACTTGCCAGGGAAGCGCTTATTCTACTGAGCCATCTCCCCAGCCTCTGAAAACAGATTTTTTAAAAGCATAGAATAGCGGCTGGTGAGATGGCTCAGTGGTCTAGGGCACCTACTTGGAGCAGGCTCAGTAAAGCGCAGGGACCGCGGTTCAATCCCCAGCACCACATGCCAGCCAGCCCCCCCCTGGTGGGCTGAGCTGGACACACACACACACACACACACACATACATAAATAAATAAAATTTAAAAAAAAAAATAGTAAAAAAAAAAAGCATAGAATAGTCCACTGTTATGGTAAGATAGCTAAGGCTAAGTGTCTTGGTTACTTTTCTCTTGTTGATAGAACAAAATACCTGACATCCAAAATTAAGGAAGAAAAGGTTTATTTAATGAGCTCGCAGTTTGTGGAGGTTTCAGTCTATACTGGGCTGGCTCCCAGGCAGAGTGGCACATGGCAGAGAGCAGCAGTTCATGGCGTCCGACAATAGCCAAGAGCAGAGGAAGGAGCAGTCAAGCCTCTCTCCCTTCCTCACCCACTACAGACCGGAGCTCCTCCACGGAAGCTGTCAGCTGCTGCAGAGATCAGAGCTGCTCCAAAGTGGCGAAGATCCAGCGGGCTCTGAAGCCTTCCTCAACTGCTTTATGTACCTTTTAAGTGCTAAATCACTCTGGAGTGGGGAGTCTCCCAGGATCCAGCTAAGCTTGGGAGCCCTCAACTTGACAAGGTGTATCAACTACCACACTAAGTAACCAGTGTTGTATAAAATCTCTGAACGGAAACATTTGCTTCTGGAAATCCACTCCTTGGGTCTGGACCAGTGAATGCATTGCTCACAAAGGCCCGAACTGCGAAGTGAGACCCTGTCTCCAAAAACAGGAAGTGGGGGAAGGAAGGAAGGCAGGAAGGAAATAAGAGGGGAGGGGAGGGGCCAGGGAGATGGCTCAGTGGGGTAAGCACTTGCCTGGCAAGTGCAGTGTCTTGAGTTCAATCCCCAGTTCTGCAAAAAATAACAGAGAGGGGAGGGGAGATGGAGAAGGAAGGGTAAGGAATGGCATGAAATAGAAATCAGCCAAGACTACCAGGCATGTATAAAGGAGACATGACATGGAATTTATTGTGCCTCGGTGGAGGCAGACGGAGGCCATCTGTGTGGAATAAGTGCTGCCACAGTGACTGTGCCAGCCCCTGAATCTGGGCATGGTGGTGCAGTCTGACTCCTAAGTCCCTACTTTTAATTTTACATTCTGTCACCCCATGGTGACCCATTAATATCTTTTTTTCTCTCACACCAAATTTGCAAGCAAGGTAGAAAAAAGTTTTACATTTATTCAAGACAGACCAAAAAAAAACAAAAAACAACCCTACAAATGAGAAAAGACCTTTTTAGGGCTTGAGGGAAGGCAAGGGTCGTTAGATGGCAAGATCTTAGTAAACATCAGGGGTCAGAATTCTCTCTGCATCTGGTGCCTCAGTGATCAAAGTCCTCTGGGCATCTGGTGTAAATGAGTAGCTGTTTTCAGATGTCCTGGTGCTTGGAAGGCTCGGTGTTCTGTCTTATCCTTTCTTATGACAGCCATCCTGACATCCTTGCCAAGGGCGGCCCTCATGCTGTGCTTGTAATTTTTGCTGAGAACAATTATGACTACTAGTGCTGATCCCTTATATGCTGTACAGTGGTTTGGGGGAGCTGCCGGAATTGTACTTGTGTGTTGTGTTTGTACTTGTTGTATTTTTTGTGCAGCCTGGTGGAGAGGACGAGATGGGCAGCTGTCACTAGATCAACAATCTGCTGTACTTTCACTGGTGCTGCACAAAATACAGCAAAACAAGAAGGGAGAAATTCTGCGTGATTCATGATAAGGTCTCTGAGGGCAAAGCTCAGGGAAAACAAAGAAGAGAATGTTCACCCAGCTGCTGAGACAGAAGAATCCCATTTACTTTCTTAGAATTATCTTAAGAGGGGCTGGGGAGATGGCTCAGTAGAATAAGCACTTCCCTTTCAATAGCAAGGGCCTGAGTTCAATCCCCAGTTCCACCAACAAAATAAATAAATAAACAAATAAATAAATAAAGAATTACCTTAAGAGATCAGAGGAGGAACTCTTGCATACTTTAAAGTTTTAAGATAACTATGGGGCTGGTGAGATGGCTCAGTGGTCTGAAGCACCTACTTGGAACAAGTTTAGCAAAGCACAGGGACCACGGTTCAGTCCCCCAGCACCACATGCCAGCCAGCCCCGCCCCCTGGTGGGCTGAGCTGGCCACACACACACACACACACACATAAATAAATAAAAATTAAAAATAAATAAAATTTTTAAAAAAGATAACTGTAATATGTGACTGATTAGGATCTTGTGATTTGACCTTTGTCAGTGAGTGATTCTCTCTAAGCTTGTCAATCAATATGCTGGGCATGCTCAGTTCGGGACTCTGACAAGCCATCTGAGGCGCCTGTGGCCAATGTCATCCAGCCTTGCTGTCGTTCTTCTAGTGGCTGTGATCACTCTGCAACATGCTGGACCTGGAGAGATAGATTGGTGGTCTGAGCACCTGCCTGGCAAACCCAAGGACCTGGGTTCGATCTCCAGTATTGCCTGCCATGCCAGTCCCAGAACCCTGGGCGTACCATGCCAGCCATTGAATCTGGGCATGGTGGTGGATGCCTGTAATCCCATTGCCGGGGAGGCTGAGACAGGAGGATTACTATGAGTCCAAGCTGTATAGCGAGACCCTGTACCAAATAAATACAAGATCAAAACTTTAAAAAAAAAAATTTGGCTGCTGAAAACCTGGTTGTGTGCTGGGAAAATCAAGCCTGACACAAAGAAAGAAAAGAAGGAAGGAAGGCAAGGAGGAAAGGAGGGAGGGATAAAAAGAAAAAGAAAAAAATTGGAGTCCAACAAAGTTAAACAACTTACTCTAGATTGTACTATTAGGGTAGAGCTGGATTTGAGAAAAAAAAAAAAGTCTGACTCCTAAGGCCCTACTTTTAATTTACATTTTATGACCCCGTGGTGACCCATGAATATCTTTTTTTCTATAAAAGTAACACCAAATTCTTAAGCAAGATAGAAAAAAGTTTACCTTTATTCAAGATAGACAAAAAAAAAAAAAAAAAAGACCCTACAAACAAATTTAGTGCGCTAAATACAAAATATAGTAAGAAACTCTGAGAATGTTGCTGATGGAGGTAAAAGGTCGCTAACCCTGCCATGTCCTGGCTGTGTAGGAAAGCTGTCACGTCTTCCAGATTGACCCACAAGCACAAATACAACAAAAATCACAGATGCTTTGTTAGTTCAACTCCCTTTCTTCTTTTCGGTTGTTTTGTTTAATTCTTTATTCAAGACATTCAAAAAATAGTGGTAATAACGTTTAATTGAAAACTGACTTTGTGTTTTCTTTTTTTTATCTTTCACGAGGTGGTAGTGTTTACCTGCAGGGTCCCCCAATTCTGGCCTAGTCTGAATACTGTAGGGGCTTTAGGACAAGCCCAGCTGAGGAACAGGAAGCCGCTGACCTCGGAGATTGACCTCTCAGCTGTCAGGGAGCCGAGACCCAGGTTTCATGCTGAGGTCAGGTTAACCAGAGTGGGTTGAAAGCAAAACACCCCCTGGAGGACAAGGGGACCTTGGTCCACTTCCTACACATACTGCAAGAGAGCTGTAAGGGTCCTTACAAGGCAGGAGACCGTAGTCAGTGCCTAGAACTCTGGGTGAGGTGGGAAATCTTTGTCAGGCAACAGGGAAGTTTCCAGGGTTCAGATTAGATGCTGTTTCTGGCATCACTGAGTACAGCATTTGAGACTGTAACACTGGTCTCCTGCGTTACATCTAGTGATTCATTTTTTTCAAAATCTAAATTAGTATTATTATGGTTATATAGTGTCACAAAGCCAATGATAACAACCCATTCTGGAAACTTCTTGGTTTCCAGGATGTTGCATTCTTGGTTTCCCTCCTGTCTTCATTTTTTTTTTAATTTTTTTTTATTTTATTTGTGTGTGTGTGTGTGTGTGTGTGTGTGTGTGGCCAGCTCAGCCCACCAGGGGGCGGGGCTGGCAGGCATGTGGTGCTGGAGGATTGAACCGTGGTCCCTGTGCTTTGCTTAGCTTAGCTTGTTCTAGGTAGGTGCTTTAGACCACTGAGCCATCTCACCAGCCCCATCCTGTCTTCATTTTTACTGTCTCCTTTCCTTGATCTCTACTACAAACACTGGAGAGACCCAGAGACTCAGCCAGCAGCCCCTAGTCTGTCCTGTCTTCATCCCCTCTCCTTGGAGTTCATGTAGCAGGCCCAACTTGCCCCAACTCTGCACACTTCTAAGGAAGGCCTGTGTGCTTGACTCATACTCAGCTGGCTTCTGAGAGCTGAGTTCTTACAATGTTCTAACTAATAAGGGTGATTTGCACTTAGGCGATGCTATGCAAGTTTGTCCAGACAGTGAGTTTTATGGAGGACACCTGGTCTCCCGCTGGGGGCTGTGAGACTTTGGTACCTGAGGTCACTCACACAGGCAGTGGATGCTGATGAAGTTGACCTTCCAAAAAAAAAAAAAAAAACCCAGACACCCAGGATTGGGAGAGCATCCGTGCATAGCCGTGCTCCACATGTGTTGTCACACATTGGAGGCGGGGAAGTCCCATGTGACTCCACTAAGCAGAAACACTCGTGAACTTGTGCACAGGGCCCTGCTCAGCCCCACGTAACTGAGACTCAGACTCTGCCTGGCACCTGCAGCCACCAACAGTGTGTGCTCGGGCACAGTTATGATACCCTCAGCTGCTGATCTCAAAATATGGCTCTCAACTTTCAGCTCAAGGGCTGTCCTTTTCACCTGTTGCTGTTGTTTTTAAATCCATGAGAACCCAAAGTCTCAGATTTGGTAGGAGCCACGGGCCTGACCCTGATCGGCACACTGAAATGGAACACCACACAGTCTACAAAGGCGACGAGGAGCGACTGGATGATAATACGCAGTCAATCGATGTCACTGAGCGCATGACTTAGCACAGTTTCTCTGAACTCCTGGAGAAAGGGTCTCAGCTTCTGTTAGGCTGTAGAGTTGATCTGGTAGTAAATGTCCGCCTCTGGATTTATGAGTGTCTGTTAAACAAAGAGGAAATATGAGCTTGGCTGGCTGGGAGGACCCTCCTGGTTTAGTTCGCTGCGGCCTGTAGCTCAAAACGCCTTTCCCCATCCTTGGAAATCCCTAAGATTCCCTTTTGTGCTGTGTTTCAGTCACACTGGCAACTGTTGCTGTTGATTCTAAGGTGGCCCCATCTTCCCCATCTCCTGCTTGTTCCCTTCCCTTAAGGTGGGACTTCCATTTAATCAATAGAATATGTCAAAGGATATGGGACCTACAGGATTACGTGTATACGATTCTGTTACACAAGGCCATGACTTCCATCTTGGTTTTGAAGAAGTGACACATGATGCTGTGGGCTCCCCAGGGAGGGAGACACACGGCTAAGGACAAAGACAGCCTCCATCTGACAGCCAGTAGGAAACTGAGGCCTTCACATGATAGCCTTCAAGGGTCCTAATTCTGCCTCAAGCTACATGAACTAGGAAGTAGAAATGAAAGGAAGAGTGGTGCAGGTAGTGCCATAGGCGCCAACATAATGAGATGTCATGAATGAAAGAGGCTGGAATGAAACCAAGAGGAATAAAGTGAAATGGGAAAGAACGGGATTTGAAAATAAGAAAATGGAAAGTAACAGACAAAAACTATGGAAAGGACTGAAGGGTGTGACAAGAATGGAAATTAAAAGAATGGAATAGAGCCCAAGCCCAGGCCCAGCAAGTGTGTGGGAGAGCTTCTGAGCTCCCCTGTGCCCGCTGGACCTCACTGGACCAAGCCCAGGCCTGCCGCATAACTGAGACCTTCCGCCACACTCTCAGGATCCCTCCAGACCCAGTCCAAGCCCAGGCCTGACTAGTGTTGCACCAAAGCTCTACACCAAAGGTCAGAGGACAGTGCTGTACAAAATGACAAAGAGAAGGAGCAAAATACAATCTCAGGCCCCAAGCCCAACCAGAACAAGTGCAGAGGACACCAGCACAGAACAAACTAGGAATCACACAGCTGAAATGTTTGAATCAATAGTGTCTGAAGTAAAGAAACCACAGAAAGGTATAGAGGAACTCAAATCAGAAATAACCTCTGGAATAAAGAAATCTCTGAATAGCATCTGAAGTAAAGAATCAAATGCAGAAACATATAGAGGATATCAGATCAGAAATAATCTCTGCAGTAAAAGAATAACTACTTCTCAAGAAGACACTGATTAAAAAAATAGAAGAGATTAGAAAAACGATGGATTCCTTGAATGAGCAATACAGGAAAGAAATAGATTGCGGGAAGTGGAGTCGAAGAGATATAGAAGAACTTAAAATCTCAATCACAAGCTTGCAAAACCATTTGAGTGAAAGTGAAGATAGAGTTTCAGATCTTGAAGATGCCATTACAGCTAGTGAAAAGTCTGAAAAGCATTAAAAAATAATAAAAGAATGGGATAAATAGAGTAGGTGGATCACAGGAATAAAGGGAGAGCAGAATGAACAGGAGTGGAAAAGAGTGAAGAGTGGAAAAGAGTGCATGGAAAAGGGAGAGGCAAAAAACAGGAAAAGAAAGAAAAGGAAAGGCTGTATAGAAGAAGTGATGGACCGCAGTAGAATGAAATGAAAAACCAATTAAATAGAACAAAACAGAAAGGCAGAAAGAAAAAATGGGGAAAAAAGATGGACAAATGGACAATGGGAAATAGAATGGGTGCAATGAATTAGAAATATATATATATATATATATGAATTAAAATGCAAATAAAATAAAGGGATAGGACATAAACTGAGTGGACTAGAATAAACTAGAAGATAGTGGAAAGCAGGAAAAATAAAATAAAATAGACATACAAATGAATAAATTGTTCGTATTAAAAACCCCTAATCTGTGCATATGTACATACGACATTCAGATTTTTGGAGAAGGGTTGGTTCATCTGTCTTTTCAAGTGGAAAGGAGAGGGGTCTGCCGGTCAGTTGTTTAAGCACCTGCTTATGCAAACACAGTCAGGCCCAGGATACTGCAGTTTCAATCCCCAGCTCCATAAGCCTTACCAGACCCACCCTAAAGGCAGCCTGAACCAGCCCCCAAAAAAATCCTTCAAATAGGGCTGGGGAGATAGCTCAATAGAATAAGCAATTGCCTGGCAAGTGCAGGGTCCTTCAATCCCCGGTACCACAAAAAAAAAAGAAAGAAAAAGAAAAAAGGAAAGAAAGAAATGAAATAAGAAAAAGATGGAGGCTGGTGAGATGGCTCAGTGGTCTAAAGCACCTACTTAGAACAAGTTTAGCAAAGCACGGGGACCGCGGTTCAATTTCCCAGCACCACATGCCAGCCAGCCCCGCCCCCTGGTGGGCTGAGCTGGCCACACACACACACACACACACACACACACACACACACACATAAATAAATAAATAAATTTTTAAAAAAAGAAAGAAAGAAAAAGATGAAGAGGAATGCAGTGGGATCAAACAGTGGAATCGGATGGATGCAAAGAAATGGATGAGAGGAGCAAATCGGAGGAGATGGAAAAGAATGGAATGGGAATAGCTGAAGTGTGGAGGAGCTAAGTGGGATGGATTAAAGTAAACGCAGTGTGACATGCACAGTTGGAGCAAAGTGACAGGGAAAGACAGGACTGGAGGAAAGTTAAATGGGTTGAAAGGAAGCGGGTGGAATGGAAATAAATTCCAAGGAAATAGAATGGAGTGAAATTCAGTACACTGAACAGCGCTGGATGACATCAGCTAGAAAAATGGCAAGCTGGAAATGGCTAGCGTGGGACTGAAAATTTTTTCAAGGGAAATTTGGTCATCAGTTTGTCCTGCAGACCCTTCAGCACAGTAACAAAATGCAGACCAGTGGTAGCTTCACACATAATCTGAGACTCAAGGAGGGCTTAAAAGTACCTGGTGGTTTGACTCCCAGTTTCCTTCTGGTAGAGAGGAGCCCTGTGGGTGTGCCAGACCTCTGGGGAATGGATTCATGTGAAGACCAAAGCCTCCTGGGATTGTTGAAGGTGGTGCTCTCTGGAAATGAACCAAGTGCAAGTGAGCCCACACATGCCGCCTACCCAGAAGATGCTGCCTTGCACCCTGAGAGAGGACAGAGTCCACCAGGTTCTCAGAGAATCAGGTATGGAGGGAAGGTTGGGGTTCAGGCCCAACACTGGCCCAGAGTCTGTTCCTGTCTCTTTCTGGCTTCATAACCTTTACTCTTGACTCCTTCTGCCCACCCCATGCTGGGCCAACACCACCACATGGGAGCCAGTTCCAAGCCCTGGAGGTGGAAAGAAAAAAATGAGATCCAGAGCCCTGGCATCTGAACTAGCTCCCTGTGAATCCCTGGGCCACTTTTTCCCCACCCCTCAGCTTGCAGTGCACAATGGAAGGTTCCAATAAAGTGGAAACTCAGACTGGTGAAATCTGCAATCGATCCTCAGGCATATTCCCCCTAAATCGTGGCCAACATACCTCACAGAACTCTTCCATAGATGCTGACTGGGACATCTGGGGAAATACAAAGTTGGAAAGAGGTCCTGGGTCCTGGTATGGAGGTTGTTCATAGAAATTCTCAGAAACAGTCTTAGCCTCAAAAGTAGTTACAGAGCTTCTGATTCCCAGTGGGCCTCCAGGCTAAGCAGTGTCATGTTGAAATCTAAGAATCCCAGGAGAAGAGATGAAGAGAAGGAGGTTGGGAGCAGAGCTGACAGGAACAAGCAAAGAGCCCTGGGCCAGCTCCCTCCCTCCACTTTTGAGCCAGGGAAGATTTCAGGGTCCTCAGAGACGATGTCTCTAGGGAGGAGAAGTAGTTCACCCATCTCACTGGCTCTAGAATGTTCCTGGAACTCAGGTTTTCTGGCATTAAAAGGTACTGGAAAGCCTACAGAAAGCAAACCCCAGCCCAGAGATTGAGTTAGAAAGACAGAGGAAGGGACTGCTTACCAGGGGCCTTATCCCCAGGAAATAAATAGCAAAATCCTCCTTCCTCCCCATCATATCTCTGGTGAGCTTAACTTCAGAATGTCTTGGAAATCAAGTTCTAAATTACCTTAGGCCACCTGCAACATGGATGGGGGGAACCCAAGCCCCAGCCCCAATTCTGTCCATGGGTCCTGTGTAAACTTCACAGGCTTAGTCCTTTATCCCCCTCCCCTAGTCTTGATTTCTTGTCTGTAAAATAAAGCTGGACTGGGCCATCTGCATAGGCCCCTCCATATCATAAGGTTCATCCTTTCAGAACTCTAGATGCAGAGATGGGAAAGGTGCTTCCGTTTCCCCTTAGTTGGTCTCGTCCACCAGCATTCGAGGCCCTGTGCCAAGATGAATTATGATGGAGGTTGGGTTCATAGGGAAGGCTGTGGCGGTGGACTTGCTCTGTCTACAGCAATCCAGTGACAGCATTTTCTGAGGCTGAGGAGAGAATGCCACCACACTGTCCTTCTCTCCCCACAGCTTCTGGAACAGGTGTAACCCCTCAGAATCCTTGACACCAGTCGCATCTCTATTCTCCATGGGGACACAGGGGATCTGGGGCTCAGGAAGCTGGGACAGGCCTTGCCCACAATCAAACAGTAGCCTGGTGGCAGAACTTGGAGGAGAGGACTGGGCGTCCACCCCAGCTCTTCCCCAGCCCTCACGAATGCCCATGGGCTTGCTTACCAGAAACGGGCTCTGTAGAGTTCTTCTTCCAAGAGGTCAGTTGCGAGGCTGTTGGCAAGGGGTCATCTGCTACTATCCTTAGACAGCCTGAAATCCCAAAGCCTCCTTATTCTTTTCTGAATTGTTATGTCAAAATTATCCAGACACTGACAAAGGTTCTACAATCTGAGGTACAGGATCTCAGGATAAATCCTGAGGGGATTTCACTGACTTTATCAGATCCAAAAGCTACAATTCTTGTTGCATAATTCTTGCTTTGTCTTGGTCTTAACCGTCCAGCAGAAAAGTATAAAAACGAAGTACAAGTAGTAAAGCCATGTTATGTTCAGCTATAGGGGACTCAGGTCAACAATTTATGACACTGCCAGTCAAGCGGAAGACCCAATACTATTATGGATTACTGAACTCTTTATAATATTTTTGCTGAACTAACACACCTTTAATATTCAAATGATGGAACTAAGCAAAAAACGTGTTATATAAATGAGTGTCCATTTTGTATCTGTGTATTGTGTATTCAAAATGGTTAGGATAGATATATAGTTACACTCTCTTAATGAATAGAGGGATTTTTTGTAATAGTGTTTGTAAATAAGATATCATGTCTGCATCTTGTAAAGCGAATAACCACTAGGAAGACAGTATGCAATGTGTTAATTATTGAAACTGTCCTACCAATTTGATTTCAAACTGTCTGTCTCTTTGGTATTTGTCTGTCAATATAAATATGGAAAAAATTAAAATGCAATAAAATAACAAACAAATAAAAAAAGAAAATTATCCATAAACACTCCGCTAGTTCTTCTCCATAGGTTCTGTCCACGTCCCAGACCTTCTTGGACAGCGTTCCCAAGTATTAGGAATTCCCCAGGTGCCAGACAGCGCTCAGCACCATGGTCAGCAACCCTCTTGCCGGGCGCCCTCTGCTGGCCACCTCCCACCAGCCCACCCCACTCTTTCCAGCGCAGTCTTACCAGCCGGCCTTCCAGCTTTGTAGCCCAGTCCTGCCAGCAGAGCAATGCCAATCAGGACTCCAGTGACGATGCCAGCGATGGTTCCCCCAGATGAGGAGAATGAATGGGGACCTGGGAAAAGAGAATCAAGACTCAGGCCTGACAGCCTCATTGCCACTGCCAGGGCCATCCCTAAACTTGTGGCTTTCTTCCTGCACTCCTGAGCATTGAGCCCAGGACCGCAGCACTGAGCTACATCCCTGCATCCCCTTTTAAAATCTTGAGACAAGGTTTCTTAAGCTGTCCAGGCTGAGCTCAAACTTGTGGCCTTCCTGCGCCAGTCTCCCAGAGTGCTGGCATTACAGGCATGTGCCCCAAGCCCGGCTTGTGGTTATATATTTACTGACATTTTATGAGGACTGGTTTTCAAGTTGCCGGGAAGCAGCATGCATTCACAGAACTATTTCTGACATCAGCTGACGGGCATTCAAATCTCAGCTGTGTGGCCCTGAGCATGCTACTTAACCTCTCTGTGTTCCAACTGTCTTTTCTATAAAATAGGAACAAGAGTTCCTACTTTACAGGGTGGCAGGAAAGATTAAACATACATGTATTCGTGTTCAATCTATGTTATGTTCAAAATGATAGAGACAGAGAAAGAAACAGAGACAGAGACAGAAATTGTAGGGTTCTGTTTGTCTCTTGGTCCCAGGAGAAAATGGCAAGAGGATGTAGAAAATAAAGATGAGACATAGTAGCTGAGGTCAGGTGGTGGACCACGCCTGACTGGCAAAGGACCTCAGAACAACAGTGAGGGTGTTCATTTGTATTTTTACAAAGTTACAAGACACAAGGTTACTAATAACCCACAATGTCCAGGCAAGATATTTTTCTCAAGGCTGACGTAGCTTGGATGCATTTGGCAATGAGGCCTCAGCCTGCCCTCCCACATAGAATCAATTTCCAGCTTCAGCAGCTCCCCACAAAGATAGAAATATGGATATAGATACAGCGTTTGCACCCGTGGAAGATGATCCACAAATGTGTTGGCTGGGATGGACACTGCGGATGCGGATGATGGATCAAGGCCTTCAAATTGCCCCTCCTGTGAGCCAAAGAAAAGGGCTTTGGCAACCAGAAACCTGGGTAGCACTCAGGACCTCTCACTCCCTGAAGCCATGTGACCCTGGACAAGTGAATTCCTTTCTGCAGGTGCAAACTGAGGCAAGCTGCACCTGTGAGGAAGCGTGAAAATGAGATGCTATCATAGATTTCATTCCTGGCACAGAGCGGTGCTAACGTGATTGTTCACACTGGTGTTGGACTGCAGGGTTTGAATTCTGCTTTTGCCCAACCTTTCTCAAAGGGTTACACACAGCCATCAGGATTAAGGCAGCAGTCATGAGGGTTGGGGTATGAGGAAGGGGGTCTACTTACAAGGGACAGAGGGGGATTTCCTGTGAGGCCCCTGGAGCTTAGACTTATTCTCTGAGTTTCTGTTTCTTTACATGTCAAACAAACATAGTTTGATATAATCCTCTAGAATTCAGAGGGGCTTAAAGGTTAAATGAGCCCATGCATAAAAATACCAGCAAAGAGCCTGGCACACAGTAGGTGCTTGGTAGAAGCTGATGGCCAGCCAGGCATATTGATGCACACCTAGCTTATCGTCCCCGCTGCTTGGGAGGCTGAGCCAGGAGGATCGAGAGTTTGAAGTCAACTTGTGCAACTTAGACTTAGTGAAACTCTGTCTCGATATTTAAAAAAAAAAAAAAAGGGGGGGCTGGGGATGTAGTTCAGTGGTAGAGCACTTGCCTAGCAAGGGTGAAGCACTGGGTCTCACCTCTAATTAAAAAAAAAAATTAGAAGCTGCTCTCTGACAAGCTCTAAGCACCTTGAGCCCTCTGTACACGATCTCATTCAAAATGCACAACATTGCCACAAACACCAATCACACCCACTAACTCGAAGCTTCCTCTTCTGAGCCCATTTCACTCATCAAACCCTCTTCCCAAGACCAGAGGCTGATCTGAAGACACAAAGAGGTGATCTGACCGAAAAATAAAAAAGGAATAAAAGGTCGGGGGTTGGGAGGGCGATGCACCCCAAGACTCACCCACCACATTGACCAGGACAGAGGCAGAGCTGGCCAGGCCTGTCAGAGGGTTGAAGGCTGTGCAGCTGCAGACACCCTTGTGCTCCCAGGTCACAGCGCCGATGGCCAGCTGTCCCCCCACATACTCCCCGCTGGGACGTCCACAGCTCCAGCGATACTGTGTGTCTGGATGGCACTCAGTCCGACACCACAAGGTCAAGTTGGAGTCAATCTTCACCTCCACAGTGCTAAGAGCCCTGGCTTCGGAGTCCCTAGTGATGTGCACATGGTCAGGGCCATCTGTGGGCAGAGCCAGAGTCATGCACGCCCCCCACACACCCCTTTTTATCCCCTCTGCTCCCACAGTGCAGGTTTTGCTTTTCCGCTTGTTTGTATGTTTGTTTATTTCTTCTCCATTAGAACAGAGGCAATTCCAGTCTGCAGCAAAAAAACAAAGACTCTTCTCCCCGGTTCCCTTAATTACCCAGGCTGGGAGTGAGTTTGAAATCTTCCTGCCTCAGCTGCTCAGAACTGCCCTCACCTCCCTCAGTGTCTACACAGATCTTGCCTTCTTAGGAAGCCCCGGGCCTCTGCCTAAGGCGGCCACACCTTCCCCATCCGGGTACCCAGTCCCCTGCCACGCCTCACAGTTCTCCACAGCCTTAGATGGTCTCATCCTAAGCTGTCACTTTGGGTCCCTCCTGCCATCTGTTTACAGCCTGTCTGCTCCACTACAGAGCCCCCCAAGGACAGGCAGTAGGCCGTGTACGGTGCCCACATTCACACCAGCACTGGCAGGGGCCAGGTAGCGGCCGGATGAACGACCTGAAGAGAGATGGAGAGGGAGGAGGGGAGCAGACCCAGAGCCCAGCGACTCACAGTTGATGGTCAACTTGAGGGTGTCGCTGCGCACCTGTGCGGCCCTGGTCCAGATCTCACACTCATAGGGGCCTGTGTCGTCCTGCCGGAGGCAAAGGATGACCAGGGTCCTGTTGTCCGCCAACAGCACCAGGCGCTCACTGGGCAGGAGGGGCTCAACCCCCACAAACCAGCCGGTGCTGACCCCCTCGTAAGTGGTCTGGCAGATCAGGGTCACGGAGCCAGTGTTCTTCACGAACTCCAGGCTCAGGGACACCACAGGCTTGGCCAGGCTTGCTGGAGACAGGTGGGGATACAGGGCTGAGCCCCACAGGTTTTCCCAGGGACAGACCTGTGTGTACTGCAGGTGCTGTGTGCTTTGGATAGGACTGTGTGGTGTGTGTGGTGCATGAACGTCTTTTGTGGATGAGTGCATGTTGCGTCATGTCGATGTGAATACGTTGTGGGTTTTGTGTGGATGAAGGGAGTGTGCTGTGTATGTGCTTTGTGTGTTTTATATCTGCTATGTGTGTTTTGAGAATGTGAGGTAAGTAGGTGGTACACATACTTATGTGCACTTTGTGTGTGAGTGCGTTGCACATGTATTTTCTGTACATACATGTATGTTCTGTGATTGTGATATTGTGTATGTAATATGTGTGCATTGCATGTTATCTAATATACTTTGTTCATAACTTGCTGTGTGTGGTATGTGTATCTATTTTGTGTGTGTGTATATTTTTGTGAGTTGTATGTTATACAGATTGAGGTGTTGAATTTATGGCATATAGTATATTTTCTGTATAGCTCTTTCTTTCTTTCTTTCTTTCTTTCTTTCTTTCTTTCTTCTTCTTTTTTTTTTTTGGTCTTTTTGAGGTTGGGCCTCACTATGCAGTGCAGGCTGCCCTTGAGCTCACTTTGTAGCCCAGGTTGGTCTCAAGCTCACAAGGATCCTCCTGCCTCAGCCTTCCGCGTGCTGGGATTACAGACCTGTGCCACCACACCCAGGAGTGCGGGGTTTCTCACATGTCTGTGATATTGCTTGGTGGTGATGCTAGATGTGTGTGAAGTGGCTGTGGTGTGTGTATCTGCTGTGTATCAGCGGCGAGCGTGTGATGAGTATGCATGCTTTAGGTGAGAGCGTTTCATGTGTCTGTGGCATGATTTGTACCGTAGTGCATGTGAGATATGTGCGTCTGTGTTCACTGTGTCAGATGTCTTACATATGTGTTACGAATATGTAAGTGTATCGGGTGTATGTGTTGTGGGTTTCAGCGTACAGTGTGTAAATGTTGTGTGTCCCTGACATGGCAAATACTTTGTCTTGAGTGCTTTTGGGTCTATTGTGTGTATGTTATCTGGGTCTGTGTTGTGTTATGTTCTAACTGTACACATGTACCGCACACATATGGTTATTATTTGTTTGTGTGCGGTTCTGTGTGTGTACAGTGTGGGAGTAGTGTTGTGTTCATGTTTAGAAGCTTGACAGTCAGCTCGCTGGCTCCCAGGGCATCAGCCTGTGGGCACCGCAGTGAGCCTGCAGTCTTGCAGAGGATGTGCCAAGCCAAGCGCTGGGTCATCCTCAAGATCAGTGCCCGCTTAGCCACCAGCAGAATAGGAAACCTTGCTCCTCCAGGTCCTCCTCAGATGCTGGGCTGTTGGTGTAGCTCAGCAGCTTTTTGTATTTTTCAGAGTCCCAGCCCCCCCTTCAAGAATCTGATGTCAACCCCTGATGCTTTCTCTAAAACAGAGCCCAAACAGTTTGTGTGCAACATGGACACCTGTCCAGGGCTCATGGAATGTCCAGAAGCCCCAGATGAAGCTTCTGATCCTTTTAGTCATAACAGCCTCCAATTCTCAGGAGAAGCAGGAAAGGAAACTCGAAGGAAGACTCACCAAGGACTCGGACTTTAAGGGCGCCCAGCCGGGACCGGCCAGTGGCACTGTTGGACACCAGGCACCTGTAGGTGCCCTCATCGCTCCTGGACACTGCAGGGATGGTAAATGTTCTCGTGGTGGGAGGCAGGATGGGGTCACTGGGGAGACACCAGGAATAGGCGTCTCCACCTGGAGTGTCACCATGGAGCCCTCCGTCACCTCAGCTACCTCCCCGATGGGGACACCCGACTCCACATTGATCTTAACAGGGTCAGGACCATCTGCGAAGACAAGAACAATCACAGTGGCAGTGACAGTAGCATCAGTGTCAGCCCTTTTAAGAGGAATTCGGGAGTTAGTAAACACTATTCCCTCCTCCCCGCTCAAGTCCCAGGTCAGGTGCAAAGGAGGCTACATGTTAGCTCTGCTCCTAACAGTGGAGGCCACATCTGAGGCATGTCAGCTCTTTGCTCGCCCCACCCAGGCAGAAATGTGGATCGAAAACATCTGAGGTTTGGGCTATGAGGTTTAGACCCATTGATTGGATGTTTCCAGTACAATCAGAGCAGAGATGTCAAATAATTACTCAAAGGCAAGCAAGTCTGGGTTTAAATGAGATTCACAGCTGTAAGCCTGAACAAGGCACCAACGAGGTGGTTTGGGAGAATGGGAGGAGACTCACAGTTCACCCCCAGGAGGGTGATGTCACTGCTTTGGACCTCTGCGGCACTCCGGGCCTCACACTGGTAAGACCCTGCGTCCTCCCACTGGACGGTGAGGATGGTGAGCCTCCTGCCTTCTGCAGACAGCTGCATGCGACATCGAACACAAGGGGGACATTGTTGAAGACCCAGTAGATGAAGATGTTGATAGCTGGGGTGCTGCAGTGGAAAGTCACCATTCCTCTGTGCTCTGTGACAATGCCCTGGCTGGCTGAAATGGGGGGCTTGACCAGCAGGGATGCAAAAGGAGAAAGCAAGAGAGAGAAACAGAAGCAGAGACATGGATCATGGAAGATCAGCAAGACGTAGTCAGAAAGGGATCTAGAGAGACAGGGAGACACTGGGATGGCAGGAAAGTGCTCTGGAGCCAGAATTCCTGGACTCACAGGCTGGACCTTCTGCTCACTCTAGGTGATCTTGGGAAATGTACCTCCCCTCTCAAGGCCCCTGTGCAAATAAAGCAGAGGGCTTAAGCCATGAGAATGGATCCATGAATGTCACCTTCAAAGAGGGTCAAACTCAGCACAACGACGTCAGCCAGGGTCCCCTGCCCACGGGGCAGCCATCCCGCCCTCCCTCCCACTGCCATGGCAGCTCCAGACTGTCCCTTTGCTGCTCTCCCCAGGAAAATGGACCAGACCACCCACTGTCAGGCCTTGGCTGGGCCAATCAGGTTCATCCTCTTGGGACTCGGGGTGTGGAACCCAGATAGATGGTACACCTCAGGGAGGCAGACATCAGAATGACAGGCAGGTTCTCCGTACCCACCCTCCGAATCTTCCACAAGTCTGGAGTGCTCAGGGGCCCCAAACACAGCAAGCATCCTCACTTTGGGTGTTAGGTGACCTGACCTCCACAGCAAGCTGGGCTGCAGCTGGAAGCTTCCAGAAGGTCAAAAGTGAAGCTGGAAGGAGAGAGAGGTGGTGTTCAGGGAGCGGCAGGCAAGCTGGGGTGAATTAGGACGGACAGTTACGGTTTCCAGAAGTGGAGAGAGGACGGAGGGTACAGGTGCAGCAGTCCATCCTTAAGACGTGTCCTGTCCAGTACTTATGGCCATGTGACCTGGGATGGGTCTTTATTCCTCCTGAGTCTCAATTCCTTCAGCCATAAAGTGGGCCTGAGACCACCTGTGTCCTAAGGTTGTTGGATGGGTCATAAATACTGGCAAGCTCCACCTGGCAGAGGTCAGAGGGTACTCCTCAGGCATTTTTCCCTCGACTGGGCATGCATGGCAGTTCTCCCCAGCCCGCATCAAAGAAAACAGGTGGTCAGAGAGGCCAAGACCACATAACATGGCAGGAGCTGAATTGGACCCTGGCCTTCCTGCCCTAAAAACTACCCTCTCCTGCAAACACAGTGTAACTCCTCCTATCAACTCAGGTATGGGCACAGAGCCAAACCTGGTAAACAGGAACTGCCCGTGGGAGAGATTAGCCTTACTTCCTCAGATTTACTGTCAGGGTATTTGCTGTGCATGTGATGGAAAGGAAAGGGGAAGAAGGGACAGTTCCCACTTTCCTATGTGGTCATAGAGGCTGGATGTTCTGCACAGTCATAGAGGCTGGATGTGGGCGTTGGGGACGAAACCCCAGCAGCCACACTTATGTGCAGCTGAGCTGGTCACCCCTTAGCTCTCCATGACCCCATCTGGAGAAGCCACCACACCCCTCTCTACCTTCAAAAAGACTCCCATTTGGGCCAAGCCTGCTCCTATCTCCTGCCACTTGGTGGTGCAGGGCAGTAGCTCCCTGGAGCGAACATGGACCTTCCTGCTTACTGGCCCATGGTCCTGGGCAAGAACTTTCTCTCTGTGAGCCTCCATGTCTCCAACTGCGAATGGGGATGACAGGAGAGCTTAGCTCACTGGCTGGTTGTGAGGAATGACTCACACATCAGATCTGACATCTTAAAAGGCCTCAAAGTCAGGGTTCAATCAGGGTGCTGACCATGGTGGTGGTGTCTGTATTTCTCCATTGTCATTGGTGTTCAGGGCCACCATTTAAGCTTATGGCAACAGTCTGTGTTTGGTCCCCAGCTTTGTCACCTCTTTGGGCATCAGGGGCTCACTATGCAGTTCAGGCTGGCCTTGAACTCACAAAGATGTTCCTGCCTCAGTCTCCTGAGTACTGGGAGTACAGGTGTGCACCACCATGCCCACTCTCTCATCCTGCCTTTTCTTCTGGTACAGTAGAGACTTTACTTGTCACTCTTTTTCAGGATCTCTCTTTCTATCTCTGCCTCTGCTCTTCTCTGTCTCTCTGTCTCTCTGTCTCTCTGTCTCTGTTTCTCTCTCTCTCTCTCTCTCTCTCTCTCTCTCTCTCTGCCTCTCACTTTCTCTCTCCCCTATTTGTATCTCTTTTGCATGTATCTTTAGTTCTGTCTTTCTTTTTCTGCCTTTCTGTACACACACACACACACACACACACACACACACACACATGAACACACACGACTCACGAGTGAAGCTGCAGCGCCCTCCACTCTTGCACCATCAGCAGGAAGTAGAACCTCACCTGTCGGCCAGCAGCTCCACAAGTTAGCCAAGCCCATGGGTCGAGGCGCTGCCCACAGCGTGCCAGGCTGTCCAGCTCCCAGACTCCCCAGGTAGCCACGGTCTCCACCCCAGCTGTAGCCCTGCCACCTCCCGTCTCTTCCCTCCCACCCTTCAACAAACGCACTCGCTAGCTACGGTGCCGGCTGGCAGTGGCTTCCAGTGGGACGGGGCAGCATCAGGGGAGGGACTTTGGCCTCACCTCTGCACTCCACCCCTGGGTCTTACTTTCCCTTTCAAGCCAGCACCGAGAGAGGATATTCCAAGATCCCTGAGAACCAGGAACTAATACTCAGATGCCAGCAGCAATGCTGAGAACAAAACAATAACGGCCAGTGACCCAGGACCAGGCTGGGTGCCAAGCTCACCCCAAGCAGCCTGTAAATATGAAGCGAGATCAGAGCCGGCCGGCTCTGGATCCGGGTGACAAGCAAAGGTGCTGGAGTCAGGCAAGAGGCGGACCCAGCCCGGCGCACAGGAGGCCTGGAGCGCCCCCTGGAGGCGGGAACCTCTGAGCCAAGAGAACACAGCAAAAACTCAACCTCCAGCACATCCTGGGTCCGACCTTCAGACTCTTCCTCCAGGAGCAGCCCCTCCTCCTCCCAGGACTGGAGCAGCAGCCGCCTCATCGTCCTCCTCCTCTGCGCAGATTTCCAGGGCTCCTGTGTCCCTCAGAAGAAAAGCCTGGTCCCACGGTGGCCTCACGCGACTCCACCCCAACACCCTTTGCCCTCACCGCCCAGCCTCCCCCAGCCCCTCCACGTCGGCCCCACCGTTCTCCCGCGGGTTTGCACACACTTGGGACGCGGTTCTGCCTCGGGGCCTTGGCACCTGCTTTTCTATCTGCTCCAAGGTGTCTGTTGGAGCTCCTCAGAGCACCCTGGGACAAGGGCGCTCGCGGGGTCTGCGTCTTGGGTGTATCTCTTTCTCCAAGGCATCATCAGCCATTGTGCTTTCTGCTGCCCAGTATTTGTCTTGACTACTTTCCACAGACAGGAGCTCCGTGAGGGCCAGGGTGCCTGTTGGTTTAATTTTGATGTCCCACTGGCTGCCCAAAGCCTAGACCAGTCCCTGGCACACCATAGGCACAAAAATTCTTTGAATGAAGACATGCCAACCCACACTGCACAGGTTACTGAATTCAAATTAACTGAGGGTTTTCCTCCTCACAGCGCACAGGCAGAAACATAAGCTCAAGGGTGTGAGGTTGCTTCCCAACTGTGTGGCTCAAAGGGGAAGAAACAGGATTTAACCAGGGCCAGGGCCAAAGCCCCCCTTCTCACCCACTCCACGTGTTCTGAAGGCCCTTGCAGTCGCTGAGGACCTCCGCAACCCCCAGCCCAAGAGATGGAATCACACAGGGGGGCAAATAATTTAGGGCAGTTGAAAGTCCTTCCAGAATGTACAGTGTGGTTCAAGCCCAGCCAGCTATCTCTGAGATCCCCAAGTCCCCCAACCGCCTCCAACAACTCTGCAGAGGTCACCGATTGCTAACAATCATGGCATTGGGTGCCTTTGGTGGTCCTGGATGTGTGGACCTGGATGAAGCTGCAGATCTTCCCTGGAAAAACACTGGCACACGTGACTTACCCTACCATGCCAGCCACCCTTTCCAAAAAAAATCCATACCCAGATGCATCATTAAACTAGGAAACCAGGAACAATGAAAACCATCTGGGTGGGTACGGTGGTACTCACCTGTAACCCCAGCACTCAGGAAACTGAGGCACGAGAGTCACCATGAGGCTGCATAGTGAAGCCCTGTCTCAAAAACAATAGCAAGGGCCAGTGAGATAGCTCAGCAGACTAAGCCCTTGCTGAAGTAAGCAGGGGCCAGGATTCGATCCCTGGTACTGCATGCTGTGCAGGTCCCACCTCCAGGCGTGCTGAGCCGGTGATGGAGTCCAGGCCTGGTGGTGCAAGCCTGTAATCACAGCACTAGGGAGCCTGAAAACAGGAGGATCACTATGAGTCCAAGCTGCATAGTGAGGCTCTGTACACACACACACACACACACACACACACACACACACACTAGCAAAGTCTTAAAAACATATTGAAGAAAACATTTTTTTAAAGTCAGAATCTCACTATGCAGTTCAGGCTGGCCTTGAATTCACAACCTACTCAGTCTGGCCTCGAGTTTGCAGTGATCCTCCTGCCTCAGCCTCCCAATGCTGGGATTTCTTTTGAATGTGCAGAAAGATAAAAACCGTGGGCCCACACTTCTGAAACTATTCTTTAGTAATAAAAGTAAAATACAGTGGAAATTGTGGGCAGTGTGATTTAACCTTGAATCTTTCTTAAATTTCCCATGTGCGCAATGCCTATGGCTTGGCCTGTATGACACTGTCCAATGGTACATTTCAGAAATGGTCAATATCCATCTCCATTGCGTACCAAAAGGAGGGTGCAATTCCACAGTATCCCAATAGGTGGCGCCGCTACCTAGCAAATAAGAGCTCTTCTCTACGTAGTTACCCTCCAACAGCAACTACAGGGAAGTGAAAACAGCGTTGGACTTTACTGCAATCTGGAAAAAGAAAAAAGAAAAACTCACCTGGAATATTTTAGTTTACAAAGAAAACTTCACAAGGAAGTGACAGGATAATCTCACTTGGAAAGTCCCATTTTTTTCCCCCTTTTGCCTGGATGATTTAATTCAAATACCAGGGAACCCCAATCACTGAGGGGAAAAAAATGTT